AACTCCGTTTATACGACAGTGCAGTTAAAGCTGTAATCGCCCGAACTGACGATTCCATTATCCCTTGATCTATCTTTTTTAGCGCTAAACACCCTACGGGACATATCAAGCACCTGATTTTTTACCCTTTATAAATCATTGTTCATTGCTTGTAATGAAAATCGGACGGTATTCTAGTGCAGGGCGAACGCAGGCCTCAAACAAGAGCAGTTTAGGTTAAGGCCTCGAAAATGATTTTAAGATACGTTTTGCGATTCTTCGTGATCTGGGCGTTATAAATTCAACTTGTGCCCTAAAATTCAAGTGTTAGAGAACCGGATGCCCAGATCTCGTATAGTCTTATTGAAGGGTTTACCACCAAGGTAAAGTGCATTCGGCGAAAGTTCGTACTTGCATCTCAAAATACTGCGCTTGTCCGTTGAGAAAGACATTTTCCAATCATTGCATCACGATTCCTAGGCCATTAGGTGTATACGAACATCTTCAAGTGTGTCGCTCAAACACCGGATATCGAAGGTGTATGGTATGTTTACATCATCCACACAGATATAGGGTGTCGCAAATTTCCTTTTTTCAGTTATATTATTTACATACATTAAGAAGAGCAGGGACCTAATACACTTCCTTGAATCACACCACTTTTGATCTTGAATGGTGAAGACTTAGTATGTCCTACGTGTACCTACTGCGTACGATCAGATAGGTAAGATTTGAACCATGAGCGCAAGGGATCAGTGATCCCGAAATTGGCTAGTTTCACCAAGAGATTGTTGTGCGGCACTCTGTCAAAGAACTTTTGCATAGCAATAAAGAGAATGAGGGCTGCTTTTCCATCGTCATTGGAGCTTGTCAGATGGTTTAGAAACAATAGCTGATAAGTCTGATATGAGCATCTTTGCAAAAACCCATGTTGAGTTGGATTTATTAAATTCAATGACAGCAAGTGCATAATAGTTTTCTCTTTCTTTCTCTTTTTTCTTTCTATTATTCTCGTAATAATCGGAATGTGGCTAATTAGACCGTAGTTGTTATGTCTACTTTTGAGCCATTCTTATGTCTAGGTTCTTTAATGCAGTTTCCATTGATTGGGGAATATACCAGAACGCATAGATAGGCAAATACGTTTATAAGTAACAGCGATATATCCTGGCCACTAAACTTTATTAGAGATGTTGGTAGACCATCAGGTCCAGGATGGGACGAAGACCGTAGCAGATCAAACTGAGGTTGAATGACACGGTAATCGAATTTCAGTGTGCTAAGTTTGCCAAAGTCAGTAGGAGCGCTAATCGTAGGTGTGCTGCTTGAGGTAGCAAGTAAAGTGGAAAAGTGTTCATTCATGACGTTCCCCATTGTGGTGGGGTCCCTGGTCATGGATCTGTCAGATAATAGATGCGTGCTACCGATTATGTTTGACTGTCGTTTGTGGCCTTCAGTAGCTTGACTTAGACCAGATCTATCATTAACTGCTGAAACAAAGAACTTAAGGCGGGTCATTCACCGCATGAGTCCAGAAGAGTTGGCGATCGAACTGCAAACTAGCAATGGTCACGGGAGGTTGATCGAAATGGCCAAGTTCAAACACCATTTTCTCATCGGTCAGTTTTTTGCTTAGTGCGCACTGACGAAGTCACCTCGATTGGTGATGAAACGTCTGCAACGAAATAGTTCGGCTCGGAGAACAAACATAAACCTGAACAGACAAACCGAGCTACGGGTATTCCGCTTTATTGCTAACTAATAAATGACCAACTAATAAATGACAAATAACAAAACATGGACTCAACAAATTCCACTCGCCCCCTTTCTGTCCGCCTGCCCCCCCCCTACGATTGCTACCCTACTCTCCCGTCCTCGTTTTGTCTCCCCAGCTGACATCTCTTAAAAACTTCCATTATTCAGCCTTCTCGGGTGAGACCCTGTGGTGACCATGAATCATTCAAGCTTCCAGTATGTTGAGAGATTGGCTTTTATGATGTTTATATCTTCCGGTCATCCATTTGTTTAAGTGATTGTACATTCCGACCACTTACTCTCCTCGGTAGATATTATTGTCTGCCTCTACTTACGTGTACTGCATTCATTGTAACTTTCCTCAGTACATGTTAGATTCTCCCCACTTTCGTACTCGTCACGCCTCTTGCGAGTCGCATCTGAGTAGCACCTTGCAAACCTGTTTTATTTTATGACTCATCTACTCAACCTCGTTTAGAAAACGATCGGATTATATTTGCACAGAATTCCTCTACATTAGCTATACAAAATGATACAAATAACTGTCACTTTTGTAGCAGTACAAAAGTTTTTCATTTGAATGTGATGTGGACTCGGTGAAATAGGAAAATCCTCAATGTCCTTTTCTCAGACAGGTCAAAATGAGTCGTTGCGGTTGTTAGCTCTAGCTAGTCAACCGCTATACAGTGGGATAACCCGATAAGGCTGATGAATGTGGGCTCTCTCGTTGCTCTTCATCACTAACCCATTCTGTATAGGACTCTACCTCGGAAAAATTATCCACCCAGTCATCCTTCACATCATTCTCTTCGTTGTCGATATCCAGCTCGTCATCACCTGGCTGCACCTTTTCTAGATCTTGTCCACGTTCTTGGATAATCACTTCGTCAGTAATTCCCAACTCATGCAGATAAACCTTCAGTCTTTCCAAAATTTCGAGGTTTTTCCTCTCCAGCTCCTCTTGCATTATTTTCTGCCGCGCCTTGGCCACCGTTAAAGCCACTGTGTGGACATGGTGGTTGAACACCATGAGAATCATCCACACGACGGTTATTGCAGCTGCCCATCCTATGAGTATTGCTAGCCCCACATAAATATCATTGATAGCGGGCAACTTGTAAGAGCCTTTTTCAATCTTCACTCGGTACACAATATGTGGCGACGGGGCCCACTTACTCGGATTTTTTGTGTGTCGTAAAAAGCACTGATATTCTCCCGAGTCGTTTAAGGCTACTATCTGGAAGACAAGTTCACATTTTCCAGTTACATAGATCCGCTCGTCCATCATTGTCCGACGGCTAAACGATAGACCTGTTTTTGAACGCCACAGGACATCATCCCTGACACCGGAGCAGTCTGTGGGTTTGTCCAGGTTGCAAGACAGACGCACTGATTCGGTACCGTCAACGACAACCCTCTCAATTTTCATAAACCGCATGTCGTCTATTCCAAGCAGATGTACTTGCATACGGGTCACGTCCCGATCCAGGGCCAAGTTTATCAAATCCATGGGATCCATCTCCGGGCAAGCGAAGTCGTAGACCATTTTGGTAAATAAGCCACGAGTTTCCAGCGGTCTAAATTGATTATTTAGATTTGGGAGATGCTTAAACATGGTGTACTGGCATGGCACGAAGATATCCGTGTCGTTGACATGGTGGTAGAATCCCAATTCCTTAACACGTTGTTTCACCGCATTTTCACGAGCTGTACGCTCCCCCTGTGTAGTAGCATACTGAGGACTGACGAGAAAGTCGAATGCGAATCGCAAAACGAAATAGATCAGTTTGGCGTCTTCATCGTCCGAATACAGCTGATCCACCACGTCTGGCTCTATTCGGATAAAACATGAGCGATAACCTCTTATTTCGACCTCTCCGCATAGAGCTGTCTTCGGCATGTTGTTGTACACCCGTGAAGTGAGGTGGAGAGGATCGTAACGAAAATCCTGAAAGTCTGGCAGAGCAGCTAAATCATCGTCCAAAATTTTCTGCAGTGCTGGTATTTGTTCGAAACTATCCACTCTACTATTCATCTCCATTTGTGGCGGCAACACAGTCAGATCGACCGTATCCTGGACCGGAGTGATGGTGTCCACGTGGTACCAAATTTGGTTCAGGGGGTGCTCGTCCAATTCTCTCTGCATGCATACATAAGTTCCCAAATTTTTGGAAGCGTTGAATCTTAAGTATCTTAGAGTGAATGTTTTTAGGCTCAGACAGGGTGACTTAATGTCTCCAGAGAAGTACTCCGTCTCAACTGGCTCCAGCATAGTTCGATTCAAAAGCCATATGCGACTTGCATCTGTCAGTTGTTCGGGTAAGAAAATAGAACCAGACTTTTCTCGTGGTACCCAGAACCATTTCATCTTGGTGAAATCATCTCCACGGCACACCTGACAAGTTAGATCTAGTGGGTCATTTGTGTTATATGGAATCAGGACAGCAACATGTTGCCTAGCTGCCATATTTTGCCGACGGACCTGACATCCTTCGACGTCCTGCCCTAAAGTGACATTCTCCTCCTCGTATTTGCACCATTTCAGTTCCTCTTCCACAAAGATTGCTTCTGTGGTAGTGGTCATATTAGACTCAGTGCTCGACGAATTGTCAGAATTGTCGGGGGTTGGTGTCTGTGCAACACTCACAAGTTGTGAGACAAACAGGCGAACAAAGAAAAGCGTCAGCACCACCCTTGCAGACATGATAGATATTGAACTGTCCGTTAGACCATGTTCAAACTGCTCCACCATGGGTCGTTCAAAGTCACGCGACGGGAAGGTCAGCTAAGTGATAAAATGTGCGCACAAACCGCGTTTATCTGTAGGAAGGAATGTTCTCTCTGCTGTTCATCCTTTCAGTATGCTTGTTTCGGCCGCATATTGGAACCTGTAAGTTACTTTTATTGACCGAATTCTTACCTTATCAATCAGACCGTCCGACGTAGTATTATTCTGAATATTTTTCCGCTATGAGTAATTGTTCCATCTCAATAAAAAGCAATTAATAACATTCAAATTTATTTCCACAATTTAAATTTATATTGTTTTATAATGATCCTGTCAGATCGCTAGCACATCACGAAATTAAGTTGCCAATCATGACCCCTATTCTCAACCCGAGAATCAAACCCCTATTTGTAGAGTGACATGTTTTTATATGTCAGGTAGTTCGAAAGGTTAGTGAATGCTAAACACTGATTACTGAAATTAGAGAGCGTGAAACCGGTGTTGATGCACGTATGCCGAAGCAAGTCGCTGATTCTGCGCAATGGCAGCACATTACAGCTGCACTACATCTTATCCGGGTGTGATAGCTCTTTATACCTGTAATGCGCCAAGGGGAGTCGGGGAATCTCTTAAATTCCGACACCGATTTCGTCTCGACTATTGTCTCCGGCAACTTGTTTCAAGATTTCAACACTCCACGTTCGGAGCATAGAGCGTGGGCGATACGCTTCAAATTCGTTGTCCGCGTGTACTGCTTGGTGTGCAGTAGCGGCCTCAACATAGGGAAGTGGGCCAGGTCCGGTATGTCATTATGAGATCAACTCGAAACTAACGATATGATAGGGTATACGGCCCTGGTCTCCTACATCGGTTCTCGTACATATCTTGTAAACTGGGGAGGAGTCGGTTAGCTACATGCTGAACCCGTTCCAGTCTCTACACCTCAGCTATTGTGATCGGACAATAAGCGGATGAGCCGTACTCCAGTACCGGTATTGACATGGATGAGAACAGGCGAGTGGCAATATCTTCTGATAAGTGCAGAAGCTGCGTCTAAGCGCCTAAGGTAGGCGTAATCCGTTTCCACACAGCCTTTTCGTGTTGTCGACGGACTTCAGATCACAGCGTGAGAGTACACCTAGATCTTTTAAGGCAAGGTATCCTCGCCCTTCGCTATTGCTAGCGGTGTAAAACAGAAGCGCCCTGTATCTCCGTTCCCGTACATTGCAGTTGAATGTAACCTGTTGAGAGCCCCTGTAAACTCCCAACTTGTTGAATCGTGGGTTCCTCCGAGTAATCAAGCGACGGGTTCACCGTGTTCATTGATAATTCTAGGACCATGCAAGTCATGCTACATCGTTCGACGACTAGCGAGCGCCTCTACCTCCTTGCCGTCTGTAAACGTAAACTGATGTCGTGGGGATGGCGATCAAGTTTCCTTCTAGTTACCCACGCAGTTGGGCAGCTTTGTGCACCTAAATAGTTGCAGATGTGCTAGTAGCATCAGTGGAAAGCAGGTTCGAGTTGAATCCCTAAGCCCGCTCAGATGATTCCAGCCTGAGAGATTTGTGACTTCACCTAATGGTTAAGAAGTAAGGTTTGTAGCTCGTACGTTTACACTATGCTTTGGATACAGTCCTGAACAACTCGCGTGGATGATACTGATACTGATTAGAAGCAGCGAGTAGAGCATACTCTGTGTAGCTGCAACAATTGTCGCTCTTGGGCATTGACGTATTAATCATCGTTCCGCTCTCTATATTTTGCCCTTGCAAAGTGTTTGTCTAGAAGCTTCTTAAATTCGGCCACTGAATTCGCCTCTATTACCGGCTGCGGCAGGTTGTTCCACGTATTCACCACTCTACGTTCGAAACAGAGTTGGTGAGCGACCCGCTTCAACTGCGGTACGATAAGTTTGTACCGGTGTCCTCGCGTGCTGCTTGGTGTGCGCAGATGAAGCAGTTGTCTCAACATGGGGTAATCACTCAGATGTAATATCCGGTGCGTCATGATTAGGTCAGCCCTCAGCCGACGATATGCTAGGGTGTACAGCCCTAGTTTCTTACATCGGTCTTCATATGGCATACCTCGTAAGTTAGGAATCAGCCTAGTGGCTACATGCTGCACCCGCTCAAGTTCTTCTACCTCACCCAGCGTGATGGGACAATATGCGGGAGAGCCGTACTCTATCATTGGTCGTATTATCGAGAAGAAGAGGCGAGTGGCAATCTCTTCTGACCAAGTGCTGAAGCTGCGCCTGAGCACCCAAAGCATATGAAGGCTGTTTTGGTACAGCCTATTCGTGTTGTCAATGGACGTTAGGTCGCAATGAACAATGAATTTATACGGGTTAAGAAGCGCTGCTTTACAAGCCCCGTTGGAAGGTTGGTGGGGATATCAACATAATAATTACGATGAAAAGGATAGTAAAATAGTTAACACTTTAAATACGAAAATAAGGACTTATCGTTTGCTTCGCTGCAGTCCTGCGATCCACTTAGATTCACAACACCCACAGTTAACAACAAATAATTGCAGGGTAAACTCCAGGTGTAGGATGGAAACATAGTGTCAAGTGACAAAGTGTAAGTGGATGAGTGCATCGTCCAAGCGTCTTTCAAATATTGTTACTGTCGGTGCAGAGACGTCCGATTCTGGGAGAGCATTCCACGGGGGACAGACACGGATGGAAAAGAAATTTCTGCGGCACTCCAGACGACTGTATTGTTCTGCGAGTTACATTGAGTGGCCCCTCAGATTTGTATTGCTGCTGAGTTGCAGTAAAGGGCGGCACACATGATGTGGGTCTCGCAGATTCAAGTATGCCATAATCAGGTCACCTCGTAGTCTGCAATAGCTTCCACTGAACAATCCTAGTCGTTGCAGCCTCTCGTGGTAGGAAATATTGCGCATTCCAATTACGTTCTTAGATGCCCGACGTTGTGGCTGCTCCAATGCATTAAGGTCGTGTTTCAGCCATGGATGCCAGGCTTGCATTACGAGTTCGACATGGGGGCGAACATACGCACTGAGCATTTGTCGAAA